AGCCCCCAGAACGGGTCCATCCTGAGCGGAAATGATTGCAAGTCGGCAGGCGGGAGTGAGCGGACAGCCTACCCCGAAGGAACACCTGCTCCCCACAGCATCCAAGTCTTCCCTTCCTCAACACCCCCATCCCACATCCTCGCCTGAAGGGACGTCACTCACGGGCGTGAACACAGCACTGAAGCCCTCCTGGGACATCTCCAGTTCGAAAGAACTGCTGCTTACGGCCTCGGTACCTAGAGAAGGAAACCATGATGCCTGGGGTTCCAGTGAGAAACATGAGCTATGCTGGGTCCGACGAGGATTCTTAGGGAATGTCAGGGTTGGAGACCAAAGGCATTAGCACCCACACAAGAGTCTAGGTTCAAAAAGGAAAATTACCCGCAGCTGAGGCTTTCTGAACTGAACAGCTCTGTCTCTGACTTACCCTCGATGGCAAAGATCTTCTCCTTCAGCTGGTTTTGAATGGCCTTCAAAGCGTCAAAGTTCTCCACTTTAAATATGTAGGAGGGATTCGATGCAATCTGATTTAATTCATTCAGGGAACCCTTAGTTTGAAAAGCTTTTCCAACCTGTAAGCAGCAAAGAGTAACTCAGCGAAAATAATGACGATGTGCCTGTGTGTCCTGGGTGTTGATGACCTCTGAGAATGCTGCTGGGACAATCTTACCACCCAGAAGAGAAAAGGGGACACAGACATGCAGGACACTAAGGGTCTGCAGGCTGGGCCAGAGCTGTCATCCTGAATGCAGTAGGAGATGAGGAGCTGGGGATTTCTAACCAGGAAAGGGAGGCAGCCTCGAGAGGAAGAGGCAGGAGGACATGGTGGGCAGGCACCCACACCCAGCCCTGGGCCCTACCCCAATGGCGTAGCGCATGACGCCTGCCGCCTCCGCCATGGGGATGACATCCTTGTACTCCAGGAAATCTCCTTCTTTACGCCCATCGGTGATGACGATCAGGACCTTAGTGGCATCCCTGCGGGCCCCACTTTGGGTGGTGAACAGTTGATTTCTGTCAGGAGAGAGCAAGGTTCAGAGGTCTATGAAAAAGCAAGACCAGCCTCTGATGCCTTTGTGAAAATGAAGAGACGCTTCTGCCCCAGAGGTTCCCGACTCGGGAAAGGGGCATGGACTGGATTTCAGTGTCCGCCTGTCCCTTTCTCAGGAAGGCAGGTGAGACCTGAAGGAGGAGCTGGGTTCCTGGGACAGGGCGTGGGGGAGCGGGCTCACATGACGTTCCTGATGGCCGTGGCTGTGTACGTTAACCCTTGCAGCTGGTGCACAGGGTTCAGCAGGCTGAGTGGGTCTGAACTGGAGGCGAAGTCATTGAAAGTGAAGTGTATCTGGAATCGGTTGGAAAACTGCACCAGAGAAACCTGGGAGACCCACACAGGACCGGGGCTGAGCTCCCTGCGCTGGGGCCCCAGCACTGCCTCAGCAAGTGTCCCCAGGCAGACTTGTCTCCTCCCCCACGGCCATACCTGGGTGCTGGGTCTCTGGAACTGGCTCATCACAGACTTCACAAAGTTTATCATTGTGCCAAACTCTCTGGGGGTGATGCTGCCAGAGCCGTCAACCAGGAACACGATGTCCTGGTCCTGCCGTGGGCATTCTAGAAAAAGCAGTGGCCCTGGTCCTCCAAGGGACACTCCCAAGAGCCCAGGACCTGAGCCTCCTGGCCCAAGAACTCACTCTCCCAGCTCCCTTCCCCGCCCAGGGTCCCCTCCCCATCAGGGCTTCCAGTAAACTCCAGCCCAAAACAGCCCTGAGTCTCAGGCTGCTGGGGCTGAGCTGCTTCCCCCTGCTCAGCCAACCTGGTTGATTAAGAAAACAAGGAAAATGTCACTCCCATCTTCCCAATATGTAACCCCTCCCCTCTTCCTGAGCCCACCTTCCCCCAACACCCCCAGCATCCAGCAAGGGAAGGACCTCGTGCTAGCCCTGGCCAGTGTCTGTCCTCACAGGTCGAAGCTGAAAGAACTTCCGTTCAATGCTTTTAATGACAACAGCTGCACCAGGGCCCTGTTCTGCTCTTGGCTGGAGTGTGGGCCCTGATCCACTCCTTCACAGAAGCAGAATCTGTCCAAAGGCAGGGAAGCTCCCCCAGCTCAGGGAGGAGAGCCCAGTCCTCGCCTGCCTGCCTGCCAGCCTCCCCTTTGTGCCTCGGAGGCCCCCCAGGCCACTGGTGTCCTAGGTGTTCTGATGAGCCCTGTGCACGGAGTCTAGGCCCAGCAGGGTTCTGGAAAGGGAATCCATCAGTGGCCAAATGTCAGTCTCCACATCTCCTCGAAGTGAATGTGCAGCCAGGGAAGGGCATCAGTTTTTGGTGGATTGGGTCTGAAAATCTCACTGCTCTACTTCCTTATCGTCCATGCCCATCAGCACCAGAGGACCCAAGCCCTGTGTCTTGGTCTGCGTGCACATGCACACATACACAAGTGCAGTCGCACACACATGCACACGGTGTAATGTGATGTAGTCAGAAAGGCAAGGAATGTTTACTTTTTTTTTTTGGTGCTGGGGATCAAACTCGGGTCCTTTCACTTGTGCAGCAGGCAGCGGAACTGCTGAACTAAATCCCCACCCCATGTTTATTTTTTTTTAAATTTTATTATAGTAAAAGACACATGAATCTCCCTCAAAGTCCTCCCTTTCCTTGAACACACTCATCCCATCATTCTTGCCACTTGCTGAAGCAGCTCTGGTTCTCTTTCACGAAGGTCTTTAGTTGCACTGTTGTGCTGCTTGTGTCCTGAATCAATTCAAATGTTTACCTTTCATGGTCATTTTGACTTTGAGGAAGAGCCAGGACCCCATGGTGCCAGATCCAGGAAGTATGGTGGATGAGGGCAGAGCAGAATGTTTTATTTGACAGAAACTGCCATAAACATTTTGAATCAATTCAGGACATCGGGCCAGCCACGACAGTGCAATCAGACCCCTAAGAGAGCTTGCCAGGCTGTAAGAAGGATGGGGTAAAGTGCGCCAAGTGGAGGTCGAAGATGAGGGCTAACAGCGATGAGTCGTACTGGGAGAACTTTTTTATTTAAACCGACACTGTTCTTTGGCAGCCCTCACACCCATACACACACACACACACACACACACACACACACACGTAGCCTCATACACGTGCACACAAGCTATGTGGCCACCTCCCAGAGTGCAGTGAAGGAAAGGGAACCCCAGCCTCTCTAGCAGTAACAGCAGCTCCATTAAGGTAGCCTTCCCCTCATGCCAGGCACTGTGCCTATCCCTGGCCGGGGGTCACCTTGTGTTACTTGCAGTGTTGGCTGTGTTATCAGCCCCACTCGACAGGTGAAGAAACTGAGGCCAAGAGGCAAAACAGTGGGATGGTGACAGCAGTGACACCATGGCTGGGGGAGCCACCACTCCCCCTGGTAACTGCTTTCCAGGCCCCCTTCTTATCTGTTCTGTAAACGTCTCTGACCCCATCCCACCCTAGTTGAATGTGTGGGCTCCCCGAAGGAGCTGGCAGCCCGAACACTCACCCTGCAGGGCATCCGGAAGCCTTTCACGCCTCTGGGCAGGGGAGGCCAGCAGGAAGCACAACCCCATCAAGTACATGTTCTGTCTGCATGCTTGGTGCACGGAAGGCCCGCAGGCCTGGGGACAGAGAGGCGGGTGGGAAAGTCCGTCCTCCCCACAGGGGCTCCTGATCCTCCACCACACTCCAGCCCAGCAGCCCTGGGCCCCACTCCTCCCCGAAAGACCCTCGTGACCCAGGGCAACTCACCAGCAGCCGGGTGGGGTTGGTGGCAGTGGCCAGGGACAGCCCCAGGGACATGTTCACAGCCTCCGGGGGCACTGAGGAGACAGACATGGCAGATGTGGTCACTGTCCGGGACAGAAGAGAATGGGTAAGCACTGGCGAGGGGCCACAGGCGCTTGGAGACAAGCAATGGAGCCTTCCGGGCCACGCTGGAACCAGGGGGCGCAGAGCTGTTACAGGCAGAGGCTGCCCAAGACTGGGGGCTCTGCAGACAGCTGGAGCCGCCAGGGGGCGGGCGTTGGGTCCCGCAGGGCAGCGACTCACCCCGCAGCAAGACAGGCTCACACTGGCCCGTGCTGTAGTCACACTGGTAGAGGCCCCCTGTCTGGTTGGCAGCCTTGACCTCCTGCGGGGCTCCAACCACCACCCTGCAGGGAGAAAAGAATGCTCCAGTTACGAGCGTGGACGCTAGAGCCCCGCTTCCACTCTGGCAAGTTTGCTTCACCCCTCTGAGCCTTGATTCCCTGTCTGTGAAATGGAGATTCATAACAATTTAAATTCTGCAAGGGCAGTATTTTTGCCTGTTTTATTCTCTGATGTACACTCCATTCCTGAGGTATATAGTAGGTATTCAATAAGTATTTGTTGAAAGGCTGATTCTCTAAGCTTGTGTAGTCTACATTAGTGCCCAACTGCAATGTGCAGGTCACAGCATCTGGCACTCAGAAAGTGCCCAATAAATATCAGCTGAAATGGGCCGGGGATTTAGCTCAGTGGCACCGTGCCTGGCTCACAAGCACAAGGTCCTGACTTCGGTCCCTAGTACCAAAAATAAACAAGTAAATATCAGCTGTAATTATTGAGACAGTGAGACACTGTACACTTTCATCAAAATACTCCCAACTTTGGAAAGCTGCCACACCCAACAGAAGGCCAGTGTGGGCAGGAAAGGGACAGGGCTTTGTACAGGGAGCGAAGCCGATGAGCACCCAAGGCCAGGCACAAGCCGTCCTCACCTGGAGTTGCCGTACTGGGCCACGCTGTGTCCAAACCCAGGGCTGTCAACATGGAAGCTGCTCGTCTGCTGCGTGTCCAAGTTGAAGCCGAGAGAAGCAGCTAAGGCTGAGGAAGAGAGAAGAGGGTCTTCCTCCTGCCTCCTGCCATCCTGCCCTCCCTTGGCTCTAGGTCCTGGGTCCCTGTGCCCTGTTCTCCCCTCTCAGCCTGACACCCCAGGGCCTCTGACTTCCTTGACTCCTGGACCCATCCCACCTCTGTCCTTCATGGTGTTCACAGATGGTCTTCACACAGCTTCCCCCAGCTTCAGTTCCCCATTTCCACAGAGCCATGGTCACCTTCAGACTAATGAGCGCTTCCCCACCCTTACCCCTGGGGCAGATGAAGGAGAAGCTAGGAAGCCTTGGTGGCCCCAGGGGCGCCATGGACAAAGCAGAAAAACGATTTGCTCTGCCAACTTCAGAAATCCTAGATGCTCAAGGCGTCATTGAATTCCTCCCACATTGGTTTTCAATGTCCTCTCCTCTGAAACTCCAGATCTCAAAGCCAGCTCCCCTAAATGTCAAGTCTCTCTCTACCCAGACCCTGGTCCCCCAGCCAGGACTCCAGGCTCACCCGTGAACAGGAGGTGGGCTGTGCAGGTCCTGCTCATGACTGGAAGGCCCAACACGGCTCTGAGTTCCGGGGCTGCTGCAGGACAGCCGGGCCAGAGTACTGAAGAAGCCCTGAACAGAGGCAGTTAGGAGCCCAGAGGCAGGGAGGGAAGTCGCCAGCATGACTCAGAGGAGGAGGGTGGAGAGTGTGACCGAAGTGAGCAGAGAAGGGGCCTGAGGCAGCCCACACACTCCCCACTCAGAGCTTTCCTAATCAGAGATGGCTTGGCTGGCTTCTCTGCTGTGTGCAGTCTTTGCCTGGGTGGACATGAATCCCGCACCCTGCCTCGTGCCTCTCAGTTCCCTCTTGTACTGGCAGAAGGCTCTCCTGATCATAAAATTTCAGGCAGCCTGGGGAGGGGAAAGGGGCAGAAGTCAGCCCCTCAAGACCCTGGTGGAAACACTTTTCTTTTTAATTAGTGCATATTAGTTACAAGAAAACAGGTATAATTGCACAGACGCACCTGGACTATTTTACCACCCCATTCCCCTTCCGCACCTCTCCACCCTCCCACACTCCTTCCTCTTCTCCCATAGTCTCCCCTCCACAGAAACCCTCCCCTTCCGACCTGAAGCCTCCAGGCCAAGTGCTCCTGGCCACTGAGGCCCAGAATCTCAGGTCTGTTTGTTGGCTGCCGGCCACATCAAAGGAGGCCATTTACTTTGGAGAAAAGGAAGAAAGACATATTCAAAGCTAGCTCTGAGGAGGTAGAGGGACCCACTGGCTTCAAATCATCGTCTCCCAATGTACAGGCATGTAGGCTCTTTCATGGCAAGGGACAGGCGCAGCGAGAGCCACGAGACAGTGCATGTCTGAGGCTTCCTTTCCTGCTCCAGCCATGTACAGCTTGCTCTCCCCACCCCACAGAAACTGGCCGACCTCCTGGCGCTAGCATCTGCATATTCTGCCACTTCATCTGGGCTGAGGACAGCAGGGCAGGTTGGTTATGTGCTTGGCAAAAGTTTGAAAATGTTGCTTATGTCTAAAAGGAGAATCTGTTAATAGCTAAAGCTTGGAAACAGCCCAAGTGCCCATCAGCTGGAAACTGGATAAAGAACATGTGGGTTTTTTATAAAATGGAGTACTACTCAGCCATAAAGAACAAGAAACTAGAGTCATTTATAGCTAAGTGGATGCATGTTGAGGCCATCCTCTTAAGTGAAATAAATAGGACACACATGTGTAAATACCGAATAGTTTCTCTAGTGTGAGAAACTGAGAGTGTAAACAAGAGTTAAAATGATTACAATGAATAATTGATAATTTGAAATAGGAAAAAAGGTCCAAAGACGAAGGAGTGAAGGGAGGGGAAGGGGAAAGGAAAAACTATGAGAAAAGAAAAAAAAAAATGGAAATGAAATCTATGTAAATAGGGAAGGGCAGAGGAGTGAAGGGTGCACAGGTAATGGGGAAAAAATAAGAACCAAGATCCATCATGTACAGGTACAAGCACCCAAGGATAAATGTAAACGAGTTGTATACCTAAAATGTACCAATAAAATGTACCAATAAAATTAATTTTTTAAAAAAATAAATAAATAAAATAAAAGGAGAATCTGTGTCTAAAAGAAAAAATCTAACTTTTAAAATTTCATTTTGCCACGCTAGCTACACAAGGAGTGTGATATGTGGTCCCTAGCAGAAGCACAGGGTGGATATGCATCCATTCGCTGACTCACCCAATCGTGTATTCACCATATATTCCACAAGCCTAATTTGAGGGTGACCATGCAAGCACTTTGCTAGGTGGAGAAAACATAGACCGCAAGGCCCCTGTGCTGGGGTCCTGAAGGCAAACGGGGAAACAACGGGCTGCTTTGAAAAGGGAAGTGCAGGGACCATAGGCCGTCTCACCTGGGCTGAGAGGCTGGGCCTCCCAGCGGGCCCCCTAGGGTGGGCCACACTTGAGTTCTGAAGGCAACTGCAGGTGGACATGTACAGGACAGCCTGTCTCAGAAGGGGGACCAGCTCTGGAAGAGGATGAGGCAGAGAACTTATGACATCCGTGATGAGGACCATGAGTGTGGGAGGTGAGAAGTGACATGTGTGGTCAGCACTATGGGGAAGAGAGGAAGTGGAAGTGGACCCCAGGCTCTGAAAGTCCCCTTAAGACAGGCAGCAATAGAAAAGGAGTGCCAGCACTGTCACAGGCTGCCAGACGCCAAGGGCAGAAGGTAATGAGGAAGTCCTGGAAAAATCCACCGAAGGAAAAGGACGAGTAGTCCAGATTCTGGACAAATTGAAAATGACTTAACTGGAAAAAGGCTGGGAACCCAAGGCTGGCATCATGGACAGAGTGAGTGCTGGTGAGGCCTCAGCCTTCAAAGATGCTGAAATCCCCTCCAGCTTGATGTTTATCTTTCTTCTCCTTGTTCCCTTGCCTCGGGGTTGGGTCTCACCCTTGGCAGGTGATGGAGGAGAGGAGAATACTGGCAGAACAAGACCCATCTCTTCTCTCAAGCTGTCCAACGTGGTCCTGTGGTACTCAGGCTCACTCAAAGTAAATTGCAATGGGAGAAATACAAAGGCAAGGGCTCCCTTTTCCAAGGATAAGTTGAAATCATAAAAGTGTATAACAGATGTTCTTAGTTTCTTAGTTCAACCCACCCATTTGACGGATGAGAGCAGAATGACTCCACCAGGACCTTAAGTTGTCTAAAACTCACTGTGTTGTTTCAATGAATCAAACGGACATTTGCAGAGAGAAGATGAGACCTAGGAGCAATAAAAGGGGAGACATGCATCTCAACCCAGGGGGAGTACGCATCGGGCACTCAACTCTCTACACCTGGCACCCTGGTGTTTGAAGCCCAACATGAGCCAACAGCAAGAGATCAATGGCGGGAGGAGGGTCTGGGGGGTCTGGAGAGCAGCCAGCCTTGCCCTCTGCCTGCTTGTGGGTGTCCCTGACTCTCTAAGCTCTGGTGTGGGCGGGGGGGGGTTTTCTAGCTAGAGGTCGGCAGGAGGGGCTGCAGCTGCTCCAGCACCTGTGGGGTGGGGGGAGGGGTGGAGAAACCAGATCAGAAGCTGCTTCTTTACTTCAGGTCTAATTTGCCTGAGCTAAGTGGACCTGAATAGTTTTGAGTCTGCCTCCTGGGTCATTTGTTTTGTGTGGGAAGAAGAAAATAGAAACTGGTGGGATTCTTCAGGCTATGTCTACGTCACACACACCCACTTGACCTGAGAGGAGGGACACTGACTCCTCTGCCACATATGGTCTGTCTCACTTCCCTGTCTTTGAAGGACAACTCCACTGTACCTCGGGATTTTCTTAAAGTAGAATTTCTTTTCATTCTATCTATAGTGTAGAAACACAACCACGCACAGCTACCCAGGAGACGGCTCCTTTCTCCAAGCACCAAGTTCTATCTGCACCCCTGATCCTGGACAGAGCACTCTGGTGTGATGATGTAGGAGTACTGCAGGATTTCAGCCGATGCTTAGGAAGGATGGGACAGGAGAGGAGAAGCAAGCAGGGGGTAATATCATCCTGATGGCAGAAAAAAGGAGCTGTGATAATACTAACGTGTGTCACCGTATGTGTTAACGTGTTAACTCACTGAATCTGTACAACAGCCCGAGGTGGAGGAATTTTGTCATCCTCATATCTGTGCAGAACTGAGTCATTTGCCTCAGGTCTCCTGGCTAGGACAGGCTGAGGAGAGAACTCAAGGTGGGGTCTTAGTCACTCTACTAATGATTTTACTTCCTCCTCTCTACCCTACCTACTCCTGCACAGCGTTCATTCACGTTCACCCCATACATACGTGACACACACGTGCCACTGGACGAAGGATCTGGGCTGGTTCCTCTAGGGAGCAAGGCAAACAGGAAAGGGTTCTAGCTGACAAGGAAATCATACTCTAGAAGGAGGTCTGACTCCAGAAGTTTTACTAGACAGGAGCAGAGTGACCCACGGGAGGAAGTAGTTAGCTCTGCTCTGGTGAATATCAGGAGGAGATGCTTGCAAAACAGTGATGGAATACTTTCATCTGCCAGGTGTTGGTGTAGGGACCTTGGGCTTCATCAACATAGGGACTGTGGCCTTCTAATCCTTCTACTCCCAACACTCAGCATGATGCCCGACACGTAGGAGGTGCACTAATAGAACTTGGTTCATGATGGTGCAATGCTAACCAGGAAAATGAGCAGAGTTTTGGTACAGAGGATCTAATAGTTCCAGCCTCATTCACTGTGGTGGTTCGGTTATGTGCCTGGGAAGTAGCATTTGCTACTGTTTGTTGGAGCAGTTGATATAACCTGAGAGCATGGAAGGAGAGTTACCAATCAGTCTTTCGTTCTTTGGTTTTAGTTTCTTCTTTTTTTTATTTTTTGGTACTGGGAATTGAACTTGGGACCTTGCGCTTGTGAGGCAGGCAGCGGAACCACTGAGCTAAATACCCGGTCCAGTTTCTTTTAATTTTTAATTGACCCAAAAGTTCATTTCTGGAGTACCATGTTATGTTTCAATATGTGTATGCATTGTGTAATGTTGAAATCAGATCAAATATAGATATAGCCACATCCCCTGTTATGAATTGTGTCTAGATGCCCCCTCAAAGCCTCATGCTCCCATAGGTGGGGCTTTTGGGAGGTGACTGAATCATGGGTTGTGGTACTGGATTAGTCTGCTGATGGCTTTATACCAGGTGTGATGTTGGGAGGTGAAACCTGGTGGGAAGAGGTGGGTCACTGGGGGTGTGGCCTTGAAGTATATCTCCTTCCTACTCCCTTGATCCTGCTCTGCTTCCTGCCTGCCTGCCACAGACTGTTTCTCCTCTGCGATGCCCTCTGCCGTGTCCCCCTGCTTTGGAGCCAGCCAACTATGAACTGAGACCTCTGTAAACTGTGAGCAAAATAACTTATATTTGTCGAGTATTTAGTCCTGGCAAGAAAGTAACTAACACATCCACAAACATTTATCATTTCTTTTTGGTCAAAACATTCCAAATTCTTTCTTCTAGCTTTTAAAAATATACAGTCATCATTATCTGTAGTCACCATTCTGTGCAATAAAATGCTAGGACTTATTTTTTTGACTTAACTTTTTATTGGTACATATTTGTCATACATATTGATCACATTCATCATAGGGAATTTGTCCCTGTAAATATTATATCTTAATTTTTCTTTTTTCCCATTTCCCTCCTCTCCCTTCAACCC